TATAATCGCAGCTTCAGATGCAATTTGCTTGTTAAACTTTTGATAATGTACAATTGCTCCAATTTCAACCATAAAACAGCTGCTGAAACCTTCTTCAAAATGTCCTAAAAATTGTTATTCGATAGATGAAGATGAAAGTAAGAAACTGCCTTTTTATCCGTCCATAATTTCTCCTCCGCGGTCAAAGTTTTGGGTATCTTGTCAATTCCTAGCAACGCATCATCCAAATCCAGTTATGCGAGTACTACATGCATCTTATCCTGCCATGGCGAAAACCTATTGTTTTGATCCAAAAGCGAAATGTCAGACTTCATGGAAGTCATCACGAACAAAAATCTTGAACAAATCAAACCATGCGCTCTTATGAAACTGCTGAACCTAGGCTATGATACCACTTGTTGTGTTAATTATGTCCAAAATCTCTTATACCAATTGTTGAGAATTCAATGATCACATATTGATCGATACCACTTACTATGAAACCAACCACTAGATTAAGATGTTGAAATTATATGGCACAATAATGAAATATTTGATCACAAGAAAAAGAATAAAATAAGACAAAAAAATATGGCAGGAGAATTATGAGATTTTATTACACCATAAATAATGAAGATTGAGAAATATTAAAGCTATTAATTACTTTTTTTCACATTATAAAATTGTATAGAAGAGTCTAATATTTATAGGGAACATTTAGGAAACGTCTAAACCCTTCTAGTAGAGTTATTGATGAAATAGGATACTAAAAAATCGAGTGCAAAACGAAAAAGGAGAGAAAAACGCAAAAATCCTGATCAGATGGCTCCACCTCCGGGCGGCCCGACGCAACCAAACAGGGGCGTCGGCACCTTCTACCATTCTTCTCTCTCTCTTTTCCCTTCAAATTGTTTTCTTCATCTCTCAAAGTCTTTTTTCCAAGCCAAACTCCCTACAAGGCTTCCAAATTGAATAAGATTTCAAACTAAATTCCTCTTGACGTGCACTTCAATTAGAATTTTTCAATTATTTCAACAAGAAATTCGGGTCACATTCAAATTCTAACAAGTGGATGCACAACTATGACTTCCGTCTACAACTTGGGTTATCATCTATAGTGTTTATAAATTAAAAGCACCTTTAGCATCTACATTGAAAAAATGAACAACATTGGGGAACATGAGAAAGCGCCATATTTTTGCTGAATGATTTCATTTGTGTTGCTAGACAAAAAAATCAGTTTTACAGTAAACCAACAAAATGGAAAATATAGAATGATAACAAAACATATGTATTTTCACTCAATGATAACAAAACATTGCAACATTTTCTTAATTTGCTTCAAGAACATGTGAAGGAATGCAGCTAATTGAGCACATCGACTAATTTGATGGTTGATTCATCAGTCACAAGCCTTTGCCAAAGTCGATTTTGAAACTTAAGCGGCTTAACTTTGTTAAAAATATTGACTACAAATACGTTCAGCCAACTTTCTCGACTTCAACATTATTGCCATCTAGTTCATTTGAGGAATCTTTATGAGGGTGATCGTAAATTTGTACAACGATGAAACGAGCTTACAAATCAAAGGGATTAATAGGGAGTTAGAATTTATCTGTGAAACACTAAGGGTCCGTTTTCTTTACTATTTTCAAACCGTTTTCTGTTTTCGATTTTTCAAAACAGTGAAAATGCGTTCTCTTTCCTATTTTCAAAAACGCGTTTTTGAAAACAAATTAAAAATTTACAAAGAAAACCCAATTTGTCATTTTGGGTGTTTTCATTTATAATCAAATCAAAATTTTCAAAACGCATTTTGAGNTGTTCTCTTTATCATTTTCGAGCCGTTTTCTGTTTTCGATTTTTCAAAACAGTGAAAACGCGTTCTCTTTCCTATTTTCGAAAACGCGTTTTTGAAAACAAGTTAAAAATTTACAAAGAAAACCCAAAACGACAAATTTGTCGTTTTGGGTGTTTTCATTTATAATCAAGTCAAAATTTTCAAAACGCATTTTGAGTATTTTCAAAACAATTTTTCAAAATGTCAAAAAGAACACATTTTCAATAATCTCAAAATAGACACTCAAGACACAAAACTCAAAACACAAAACTGAAACACAAAGACAACAACCTCTAAACAGAAGTTTTGGAATATCTGCTTCAAAATATGAGGCTATGAAAGTCAGATCTTATGTTGCTCCTTGTTCAATTAGTCAAAAAATTGAGGACAATAATGGAAATGAAAAATTTCTAGTGGTAGTTGTAGTGGGGTGGGGTGAATATATCTTACTTTGGAAAAAAAAAATAAGAATAAAATATTAGTATGTGATTTTTGAAATTGAAACTTAAAAAGTAAGGTTTGTGATAATTTTCTGATTTATAGAACACATTTTCTCTTTCACTTAATTTTCTAAAATTTACTTTTTTTCATACATTTTAATCACAAATTTTTCGTTAAAATTACTCTCACAAAATCTATTTCAAGAAAATCTCTACTAGAAAGGATACAAAGAGTTCTACTGTTTATAAGCATTTTGCCCCCATAAATTGTCCCGAAATTCCTTTTTATGACCAAAAGAAAATCCTCCATTTTGCCCTTCCAGATCGTACATGTTTTCAAAAAAATAAAAAACGGTTGATAGAGCTTGGATTCGTGTGGGAGTATTAATTTATCTGTGAGCTAAAGAAAAGAAAAGGCAATTATATAGGGCAACAAGAAAAAATAAGAGAAGGAAACTAACAAGCTTTTATTTGGAACTCATTGAAATTACATTATAATGAGATCATGCATTTTACAACGGTGACTTCCGTAATTAAAAAATCTCATTTACTGTTTATATGTTAGTGCATTTATGAGTGTGTTTGATACACATTAAAATGAAAAGAATGCATTTTTTGTGATGTGATGATGAATATGCGGTTAAAAAGAAGGAAAAATTATTGATATGATTAAAAATATTATTTTATTGAAAAATGTGTGGTTGAAAATGAATAGAAGAATGATAATGAAAATGAGAATGTGGCTCAAACATGGGCTATATAGGGAAACAAGCAGTTAAAAATCATTTTGTCCAAAACACCCCAACTCCTCAACAATACATGTTCTCTTTACCGTTTTCAAGTCGTTTTCTGTTTTTGATTCTCCGAAACAGTGAAAACGGGTTCTCTTTTTTATTTTCGAAAACGCACGAAAAAAAAAAATACACTGAAAACACAAAATGGCCAAAAGCCTGTTTTGTAAAAATTGAAGCCAAAACATGCCAAAACACAAAACACGAGAAATGAGAATTTCTCACACTTATCCTCTCTCTCTCCCCTCTCTTCCTCTCGGTTAATACTTTCATCTCTCACAAAATCACAATAAAAAATTTCTCCTGCCAAATCTACGGGTTTTCTACATGCGGTTCAATCAGGTTTCCTTTTGTTCTTTGCTTGCTATATTCTTTGCCGTATTTGTTTGGTGTTCTGTATAAGTTTTGTTGGGTCAGATTTTGCATCTGGTTTTTTCATTTGTTCGGTCTAAAATTAGACGTAGCTGGTGCTATTGGTGTAGAATCTGATGGTGATACTGTTGTGGAGGAACCTGCTTAAGAGTATCTCTGTTTATTATCACCTGTAAAAGAAGTGAATACACACACACACACGAACGGAAAAACAGGGATTAAGGTTTCTTTATTTCCATGAATTGGTACTTTTTTTTGAGAAATTTTATGGGTTTTGTTAGGCAGCCATTAATTTTGACGAGAAGAAGATGAACAACAGGTATAGATATGGAAAGAGGATGGAATATGTGATGACTTTTTTCTTTAGTACTTGAAAATTATCAGAATAATAGTTGCTGTTGTGTATTTTTTTAATACTATATTAACATTAAACCATTAAAATTTATTGAATAATCAGATTTTTTTGAATAAAATATTATTAAAAAAATTCTCAAAATTTTAAAGTAAACACGTTTTTCATTTTTATGTTTTCGGAAATAATTTTTTAGAATGACAAAAAGAATGCATTTTCAGAAATTTTAAAACAGACACTCAAAACATAAAATTGAAACACCAAGACAACGGCTCCCTATTTACCGAAATACCCATTTCCATTATTACAATGCAATTCACTTTTCTCGGTTAGAAAATTCAAGGGTAATTTTGGAATACGGAAATTTTATTCTACAATCACATATTCCAAAGTCAAAATTCTTGGTTTGAAAATTCATCTCCTCATACAGTGAATGACGTGGGTTCCCCTGGTGGCAGAATTTTTTTTGGAGCATTCTCGTTATAACGGGGATCAAACATGCGCTAGTGTCAATGTATCATATGTCTTATTAAATGAGTCATATTACTTGTTTGGTGGCAATTTTCATCCACATTTTAATGAAATATTCGACTATTAGATGTTGTACTTATTGACTTCCTTCCTACTAAAAGTTGGCATGAGAACTACAAACGGTATAAAAATGGATTTTAATTTTGCAATAGTGGAGCCAAACAAGGGCATTTTTATTTATTTAATTAAACTTATAATCTAATATTACTAGTGCTATCATCTAGACTGATGTTGAACACCAATTATTTTAAATGACATTACTCATTTGTTTTATGAATACAGTACCAAGGTTAGATGTCATGCAGCCACAAAGAATAGATTCAAAATAAGCAAATATTTACTTATTAAGCCCCTGTTTGGTTCTCATTATTTGAAATTTTAATGGTTGGAATATTATTTTTTGAATAAAATTTGATTAAAAAAGAACAAAAAATTATGGGATTACCTCTTCTTTTCAACCACACATTTTCCATAAAATAATATTATATGCAAATTTAAATTTTTTCTCTTATTTTTTAGAATAATGTTATTCATTAATGTAATATTAATTATGTAACAATTTAGTTGGAATAATGGGATATTTACTCAACTTAAAATGAGTACGTTGAGAAAGCTAGATAAACGCCAATCTGTTCTCTCACAAGCGATTCCATCTTCCCGCCATTCTACCCCAAAAGCTTATACTGTAGAATCCGATGGCGGATTCTAGGGCTTTCAGTCGCCCCACCCGATTGCAAGCCGGTATTATCTCTAGAATTCGACTAGAAAACTTCATGTGTCACAGCAACCTCGAAATTGAGTTTGGCGATTGGGTCAATTTCATCACCGGCCAAAATGGGAGTAAGCTCTCCCTCACTCAATTACACGCACATCAGTTACTTTCTGCTTGTGCATAAATATTGGATTTTTTTAGTTTATATATTTATGGGACTTTATCTGTGTGTGCGTGTGTATGCACAGGTGGGAAGAGTGCTATACTTACGGCACTATGTGTGGCATTTGGGAGCCGAGCTCGTGGCACTCAGAGAGCGAATTCGCTGAAGGATTTTATAAAGACGGGCTGCAGGTATATCTAGAAATATATATGTTTTATGGAATATTTAAAACAAGAGCATGTTTTATCAACGCTCTTTCTAAAAGTAATAAATAACTCCAAAATAATGCTCTAAACATAGTAAATCAAAGAAAATTTGATATGAAATTGAGGGAGTTGGGAGTATTATCCTCTGAACTAGCTTTTAGATCTGGGGGTGTTTGGTAGAATCCAACTGTAACAGCAAGAAAAAGAAAAGTAAGTGCAGGAAATATTTCTGTGTTGATTGAATGAAAATTACTGCCAAAGGAAGAAATAATAAGTAGCCATTCGAGATGGCCACACTCTCCTAATCTCAATTTACTCACTGAATTACCTCCCCTTACTACGTATCCCGTATTCTATTTGTAAACCTATTGTAACTGTTTTTGTTCACCTCAGCCTCCCTGCTAACAGAGCTTGTTGCTGCCCTCTCTTTCTCCCTTCTTCTCGATCCTTCTAGAATAGGTATACTTGATTGGGGGTCTATCAGTGTTCTAGTCATTTGCTTAAGGTTATACCAGATGAAACTAGTGTTATTATTTCAATGTTGTCAATTCTAAATATGTAATTTATTTACGTACTCGCATTAACTGTTTCAACTGCACACATTTCAATCTGATGTTGCTTGTACATGCATATATATTTATATTATTGCTATTTCATATTTTAGTTTCAACTAAAGAATGTTGGTCAGAGGGAAATATAAACAATTGCTTTTAAAGTAAGATTGTGGTGTAACACTCTAGTGGAGTTAAAATCAGCTTGGGATAAGTATCATGCATTCGCTAGCACACCATACCATGTGTTTAGGAGTTCACTGAAAATGGCCTATTTATTTATTTACATTCCCATGGCATCAACTGTTAGTTGCTGGCTTTCAGCTTCCTGGTATTCAATTACCCTTTTTGCCATATTTTTTATCTTTTTGCACAACTATGTGATTAATCAAGCTACTCTCTACATATCTGTTTAGCTCTGCGCTTGTTCAAGTTGGGATAAAAAATCACGGGGAAGATGCTTTCAAGCCAGAGACATATGGAGATGCCATAATTGTAGAGCGTAGAATTTCAGAATCAACCAGTTCCATCACATTAAAAAATTGGCAAGGTTTTATTCACCGAGTTCCTTCTCTCTTCTGACATCTATGACTATTAAGTGCTGTATCTTTTTGGAGAAGGAGATCTTATGCTCCATTCAATAAGACGCAAAAGTATGTGAAATATGTTGTTATCCTTCCCAAAGGTGGCTGGTCCCGTTGTCTATGATGGGAGGGTTAAAATCTAAATTAACAGATCTCCTTCACAATTTAGCCGCTGCTTGATTTTGCTAAAAATAAAAATTTTAGTAGCATTGATAAAAGTTGATGAAATATGTGGTTGAAAGCGTTGATAAAAGTTTTGGGTCTCATGAAATATATGGTTGAAAATGAGTATGAGGAGAAATGAGTTTTAGAAAATGGGGACCAAACAAGAGCTCATAAAACTCTGAAAAATGAAGGATTGATGTCTAAATCTATTAATGATTTTTACACATTTTGGATGCTTGTCCTTTTGAATAATTTGCTTTAGTAATATTTCTGCAAGATAGAAACTGTCAGCTTGTAAGATAAGCATTTGTTTTAATACCTAATTCTTTATCAGAATGTGAAAGAAATACCTTTAGTTAAGCACCATTTCAGCTTGTCAGATATTACCTTACTTGGCCTTTACTCACTTATTTCATTTACGGTTTCTTCTTTATCAGTTCTTCTTTATCAGTTAACAAATATTTTTTTCTTTCTGTTTGGCTTCCTCCTAACAAATGCGTTTTCCAGGAAAGAAGGTGGGTAGTCGGAAAGAGGATCTTCGCGAGGTTATAGAACATTTCAACGTGAGTGTAACTAATACCTACGTTTTTTTTCTTCTCTATCAATTCATATTTCATACTATAATAGTTACAAACACATGCTTATTCCCAATAAATTTTCTATCAATTCTTGGGCAAAAAAAAACTTTTAACGCAATCACTATGTTATGCAGAAGTTTCACTCCCCCTGTACCCATAATTTTCATTCATTTTGGAAAACCAATTTTTTAGCATGGGCATGACATTGATATTTGAATTGTATTTACCCCTATTTTGGGATTAAAATTTCCAACTTGTGATGATTGCTTCATTTGAATTGCCTTTCTTGTGCGTGTAACGAGATAGAGGAATAGATTTCATTGATTCTTGAACAAAAAGAAGCTGTTAATTCTTCCTTTCTTCCCAATTATGCAACGCCGGAGCCTGTGGCCTGCAAGGTTCAGGCACATAACTGGTTGTACACCATTTTCCCATCCATCCATTTGTAAGAGCTTATGCTTCCTACTACTTTTTCCCTAAATCAATCTCTGCCTTACTAATTGCATAAAAAGAATCTGGTTATTGGATCTTATCTCTGGTGGATATTGACTTTGTCTCTTTTTATGCTGGGTGTTAGTCATTTAACAACAAAAAATTATCCTCTGTTTTTTTCTTGTTCGACGCTTTATGAAACAGAAGCTGTTGTATAGCCAATCCAGGTTTACTATTCCCGAAGTACTAGTGTTTGATTGCTTATTTAGCCCCTGTTTTGGCCCCATTAAATTAAATTAAACTACATTAAATTTTTCTCTCTCTTCATTACAATCACACATTCATCAAATAAAATAATATTACACACAAATCTAAAACTTTTCATTACTTTTCCACCATACATTCTCCCATCAATCATTATTCCAAAAATTTTCAACTATCAAAAATGCCAAATAATGGGGGCCAAACAGGGGCTTACACTGCACTTTCCATATGNNGGGCTTACACTGCACTTTCCATATGTTTCGTTTTGCAGATTGATGTTGAAAATCCATGCGTGATATTGAGTCAAGACAAAAGCAGAGAATTTTTGCATTCCGGGAATGCAAAAGATAAGTTCAAGGTACGCAGTTTGAAATTTTCAATCAGTATGGTTATATTTCGAAAAATGTGACCTTCCTGTTGGAAGGATTCTACTTTATATCTTCTATTTTTCCTGGTCCTCACCCATTTATTTATGAAACATTAGCTAGTCTACCAAGTACCAACTGTTTAATGGACTTATTAATTTGTATTCTCACATAATTGGGTAATTATTATCGTAGTATTGACAATTAATATCTTGGCTGACAATTAACGACATGTTATCAGTTCTTTTTCAAGGCAACGCTTCTTCAACAAGTAGATGATCTATTGAAAGGTATTGAAAATCAACTAAATGGTGCAACTGAACTGGTTGATAATCTGGAAAAGTCACTGAGACCAATATTGAAGGAACTTGATGAGCTGCAAGAAAAGATAAAAAACATGGAATTTGTGGAAGAAATATCACAACAGGTGCAGTTGTTGAAGAAGAAACTGGCTTGGTCATGGGTATATGATTCAGACAGGAAATTTGATGTGCAAAATAAATTGATTGAAAAGCTGAAAGGACGGATACCCACTTGTCAAGCACGAATTGATCAGCAGCATGTAAGTGATCACTACAACTCTCCTGAAAGATGAGCTAGAATTTTCTTACTCGTCAATTCTCTGATTTCCATTTATCTGCCAGTGTACAAATATTGTGTTGCATCCTTTGTGCTTTGTTATTATTTCCCTAATCATGAGCTGAGTTAGGACATCAACAGTCAACCCTCAAATCACAATATCCATTGATGTGACCATTCTACAATCTGTTATTATGCTACACTAGTCAGTCACAGCTACCGCCTTCAAATATTCCTATAGTAACGTGTGCAACTTGTGTAGCACGGACACTTTAACTAGGATAGCGTATTCGACACGTATTGGACACGTGTTGGATACCGGCACTCCTCGAACACTCTGCTATGGTCTTTTTTTTTCTTTATCAAAATATATAATATTTTTAACTTAAGTTATTATTAACTAACAAATAGTTATTCGTATTTAAAAGATTTCGACAAGAAAAAGTAATAACATGTATAAAATTAAATTTATATTATGCCCTTGTTTGAGCCCCATTTTGGGGAAAATACATTTTAGAATAGTGATTTTGGGAGAATGTGTGGTTAAAAAAGATTGAAAATTTTTCGATTTACGTGTAAAATTATTATTTTATTAAAGAATGTGCGGTTGAAAATGAGTTTTGGAAAAATGAATTTTTGCAAAAATAGGGCTGAAACAAGCCCTATATAAATGAAGAATCTTGAAGTATTCAGTCAACTTTTCGATGTGTGTTGTGTCAGTACTTTTTTTGAAAAATTGCGTGATACAATATTAATAGAAATTTACCTGAACTTTCATATTTTTGCACTACAATCTGTCTCCATAGAATAGAAGTCATAGACTCAGTATATAAAATTCACGAAATCTAAATTGTCCATTTTTGTAGAGACATAAGAAATCTATTTTTTTGTAGTTTACATCACACTTTGATTTCTGATGAGTTGGAAAGAACATTTTGCCCCTGTTTGACACATTCTCCAAAAATATATTCTTTCAAAACACATTCTTCAATAACCACACATTTTTCAATAAAATAATATTTTTCATCACATCGATAACTTTTCCTTACTTTTTAACCACATATTTCCCGTTATATCACTATTTAAAATAATTTTTTTCACAATAATATTCATCAAACACACCCTTGGTGTCCTAATTCTTTCGTAGCCAAGCGTGTAGTGAGATATCATCTTTTAAATATAGGGTTATTGGAGTTCTATGTTTGGCAAAGATTTAAGTGTTATAAGCTGGTCAACATCATTTTTAGCCACACATTCCTTAAGACCTACATCTTTCATCAACTTTTTAACCACGCATTCATAGGGACCCAATGCTTAAAAACACTTAAAAGCTTATCCATACAACACTAAAGGTTACTTGCTATATAACCCCCCATTTCTGAAATTGTTGAAAGAAGTCTGCCGTGTTTTGCCATTACATGATGTTACCTACGATGAAAGCTTTGCGTACATACTGTTTTAACAATTTTATTTTAATTGATCAGTGTATATATTGTAACCCAAGAGTCTGCCTGATTCTCACGTAATATATGCTTTTAATTGACGAATGACACAAGCTTTTTGGTTAGAATGTTAATGCAGTTATATTGTGCAAACTATGTCAAAGCTAGGACTAATGCCAGCTTATATCTGTAGCTTCCCTTTAAGTAAGATCAGACTATAGGATTGCCATTTCACAATGAAAGCAAAAATTTGAACCAGATATTTAATCCCATAGCATTTTGGGTATTTTGATCTGAAACACATGGATTGGTTGAGTAGATAGAAAGATGGACTTGATGGAATTGTAATGGTGTGTGACTTAATTGGCAGCGCAAGATGGAGGAATTGAGTGATCAATTGACAAAGAAGAAAAGCCAAATAGCAAATATGATGGAAAGGACATCTGAAGTGAGGAGACTGAAGGAGGATTTGCAGCATAGTCTTTCGATGGTATGGTGGTTATTGCACCTTTGTCATTTTCTGGATTTTGAATATTTTGTCTGTTTATCTTAGTAGCTTAAATAGACAGTCGATTAGATTTATTATATCTAAAAGTGTGGCTATTGCTCATTTCTTAAAATTTTTCTTTATTTTCCATTCTTCCACCTTTTGGGAGAATACTTTTGTTTCATTTAACTGTCCTCATGTCGCATAATGTCTCAGTAAGTATCTATATAAAATTTATTTTTCTTTCTTAAAAGTGTTTTCCCCTAAGAACTTGATTTTACTATCTATTCTTTTTATTTAAATATTTTGTGGGAAGATGTTCATAAATTGTATCTTTTCTGTTTCCCTGATTTCTGCAGTCGTAGGTTTACAATCCAATGTCACAATTCCTATTAGGATCTTATTTTTTCAAGTTTGTATATAGGCCACAAAGGAGAGGCTTGAACTTGAAGGTGAACGGGATCGCAAGACTAGCAATATTCAGAAAATGGTTCAACAGGTCAAATTGCTTGAGCAACAGATTAATGATATTCATGAGCAACATATTCAAAATACACAGGTTTGCTTAACTGACCTTTAGTTTAGCTTGGTTTAAGATGAATTTGCAAATTCTTAAAAAGAACTAATTTGAGTGCATGTGGGTTGTATGTCATGAGTTTGAAAAATTGATCGAGTTACTATGTTAAACCATGCTTCTTCTATTTTTCTTTTTTTTTTTTTATCACCTATGAATGTGTTGCTTTCTCCATTTTTGATTCTTGCTACTTTTCCATTGGTACCGCTTTCAGCTTAATTAGGTTCTGGGCTCTAATTGTTGGGGATGCGAAGTAAAAACCATGTTGGGGCGCAATCCCCAATAAATAGTACTTAAGCTAATGGTGCATGCAATAGCCTGCTTGCCTTTTTGAGACTTATTATTCTTCTCTAGACTCATAATGAAGAGATGACACAATTGTTCCTATTCTTTGCATTTTTCCAACGAATTATTTGAAGCTACAGCCTATATGTAACGACACAAAATATTAAAGGTTTTCGAATCGCAAACAAAAGTTTCCTTTTATTAATCTAAAATCCA